TTAAATTATAGACTGATCATGTCTTTGTCATTGGGCAAACGTACAAAATCAGCAAGGGATCAAATACTTTTTCCCCTCACTGTAAATGGCAAAAAAGACAGTCAAAAAATGTATCATAACAAACAAGGTTTGGAAGTGTTTGTCCTGTATCTAGGAGATATAAGAAAGATCAGGAAATACATTTTACACACATATATATATATATATATATATATATATATATATATATATATATACACACACAGTGGGAAGTATATACAGTGGGGAGAACAAGTATTTGATACACTGCCGATTTTGCAGGTTTTCCTACTTACAAAGCATGTAGAGGTCTGTAATTTTTTATCATAGGTACACTTCAACTGTGAGAGAGGGAATCTAAAACAAAAATCCAGAAAATCACATTGTATGATTTTTAAGTAATTCATTTGCATTTTATTGCATGACATAAGTATTTGATACATCAGAAAAGCAGAACTTAATATTTGGTACAGAAACCTTTGTTTGCAATTACAGATATCATACGTTTCCTGTAGGTCTTGACCAGGTTTGCACACACTGCAGCAGGGATTTTGGCCCACTCCTCCATACAGACCTTCTCCAGATCCTTCAGGTTTCGGGGCTGTCGCTGGGCAATACGGACTTTCAGCTCCCTCCAAAGATGTTCTATTGGGTTCAGGTCTTGAGACTGGCTAGGCCACTCCAGGACCTTGAGATGCTTCTTACTGAGCCACTCCTTAGGTGCCCTGGCTGTGTGTTTCGGGTCGTTGTCATGCTGGAAGACCCAGCCACCACCCATCTTCAATGCTCTAACTGAGGGAAGGAGGTTGTTGGCCAAGATCTCGCGATACATGGCCCCATCCATCCTCCCCTCAATACGGTGCAGTCGTCCTGTCCCCTTTGCAGAAAACCACCCCTAAAGAATGATGTTTCCACCTCCATGCTTCACGGTTGGGATGGTGTTCTTGGGGTTGTACTCATCCTTCTTCTTCTTCCTTCAAACACGGCGAGTGGAGTTTAGACCAAAAAGCTATATTTTTGTCTCATCAGACTACATGACCTTCTCCCATTCCTCCTCTGGATCATCCAGATAGTCATTGGCAAACTTCAGACAGGCCTGGACATGCGCTGGCTTGAGCAGGGGGACCTTTCGTGCGCTGCAGGATTTTAATCCATGACAGCGTAGTGTGTTACTAATGGTTTTCTTTGAGACTGTGGTCCCAGCTCTCTTCAGGTCATTGGCCAGGTCCTGCCGTGTAGTTCTGGGCTGATCCCTCACCTTCCTCATGATCATTGATGCCCAACGAGGTGAGATCTTGCATGGAGCCCCAGACAGAGGGTAATTGACCGTCATCTTGAACTTCTTCCATTTTCTAATAATTGCGTCAACATTTGTTGCCTTCTCACCAAGCTGCTTGCCTATTGTCCTGTAGCCCATCCCAGCCTTGTGCAGGTCTACAATTTTATCCCTGATGTCATTACACAGCTCTCTGGTCTTGGCCATTGTGGAGAGGTTGGAGTCTGTTTGATTGAGTGTGTGGACAGGTGTCTTTTATACAGGTAACGAGTTCAAACAGGTGCAGTTAATACAGGTAATGAGTGGAGAACAGGAGCGCTTCTTAAAGAAAAACTAACAGGTCTGTGAGAGCCGGAATTCTTACTGGTTGGTAGGTGATCAAATACTTATGTCATGCAATAAAATGCAAATTAATTACTTAAAAATCATACAATGTGATTTTCTGGATTTTTGTTTTAGATTCCGTCTCTCACAGTTGAAGTGTACCTATGATAAAAATTACAGACCTCTACATGCTTTGTAAGTAGGAAAACCTGCAAAATCGGCAGTGTATCAAATACTTGTTCTCCCCACTGTGTATATATAAATATACATTTTTATATATATATATATTTTTTTATATATATATACACACACACACACACACACACACAGATATTTAACCCCTTTTTGGGGTAGGCACAAAACTACCTCCATACTTCCATAAATCTTTTTAAACTGTTACCGGTTACCTTCAGACGAGTCCCGTGACACTTGCTGGGGTTGTAGAGCAAAACGGAGAACATCATTGTGTTCGTGAGAATCTCCCCTTTCCACAGCGGGGTCACATTAGTTTTTCCCGGGATGTCCCATGGTCTGATAAACACCGCTCTAAGCTCCGCCACCTTTCACTGCAGATGCGGAAGTGCGACATCAGCAGATGCGGTGGATTGAGACGCATCCAAAGCAAATAAACAGATATTTCTAGCTTGAACTGATGGATTTTGATGGGGATTTTTTGTATCATGTTACTTAGATTGATGCACCCGGTACGTCAATCGACTCTAGGAGGCTAGCTACGACATGGCAGAGGATGTAAAGCCATAACACAATAACAGATTATGGTCAGTAATATAAAAAGCTGCACTGAAGTCTAACAAAACATATCCCACCATCTTCTTTATTATCAATTTCTTTCAACCAATCATCAGTCATTTGTGTCAGTGCAGTACATGTTGAGTGCCCTTCTCTATAAACATGCTGAAAGGCTGTTGTTAATCTGTTCAAAGAGAAGTAGCATTGTATCTGGTCAAACACCATTTTTTCCAAAAGTTTGCTAAGAGCCGGCAGCAAGCTGATTGGTCGGCTGTAAGAACCAGAAGGGCAGTTCACCATTCTCGGGTAGAGGAATGACTAGCTTCCCTTCAGGTCTGAGGACTAACACTTTTCTCCAGGCTCAGATTAAATATATGACAAACAGGAGTGGCAATATAGTCCACTACCATCCTCAGTAGCTTTCCATCAAAGTTGTCAACACCAGGTGGTTTCTCATTACTGTGGACAACACCTCAGTAGCTTTCCATCAAAGTTGTCAATACCAGGTGGTTTCTCATTACTGACGGACAACAATAGTTTTCCACACTGACTTTATAAAATTCAAAATGACAATGCTTTTCTTCCATTATTAGTTTTTTTTTTATGCATGTATATGATGGCTCACCGTTTGCTGTTGGCATTTCATGCCTGAGTTTGCCCACTTTACCAATTAAATAGTCATTCAAGTAATTGGCAACATCAAAAGGTTTTGTGCTGAATGAGCCATCTGAGTAAATGAAAGATGGAGTTCAATTAGTCTTTCGGGCCCATAATTTCATTTAATACTCCAATGCTTTTTTTCATCATACATTTTAGTTTCATAACACAGTTTCTTATTTTCTCAATGTACAGTACCAGCCGGTCAGATGTGCAGCAAGACTTATTAGCCACTCCTTTTGCTTCATCCCTCTCAACCATACAGCTTTTCAATTCCTCATCAATCCATGGAACCGTAACAGTTTTAACAGTCAGTTTCTTAATAGGAGACAATTTCATAAATGCATCAAGTGCATACAGACCAACACGTATTTTTGACATCTTCAATATAAGAATCATTACAAAACCTTTTGTATAATCTCTAATACAATATGTTATTTTATCGTGTTACTTTTATTTTATTGTTTACTTTAGTAAATATTTTCTTAACTCTATTTTCTTAAAACTGCGTTGTTGGTTACGGGTTTTTAAGTAAGCATTTCATGGTAAGGTCTACACCTGTTGTATTCGGTGCATGTGACAAATAACATTTGATTTGATTTATACACTATTTTAGGCCCAGCTTTTGGAACCTTGGCTTTTCTGGATATAGCCACTAAATTGTGATCCCTACATCAGATGGATGTGGATGCTGCTTTAGAGCAGAGTTCTGCAGCAGTAGTAAACATGTGATCAATACATGTTGTTCCTGTACTATTTGTAAACACTCTGGCAGGTCGATTAATAACAGACAGCTTAATGAAAACCAATCAATATTCAGATCCCCCAGAAAGTAGACCTCTCCGTTTACATCACATACATTATCAAGTATTTCACACACATTATCTAGATACTGACTGTTAGCACTTGGTGGCCTAAAGCAACACCCTAAAAGAATAATCCTCTCCAAGCTTTCCAGGAATATGGCTCTGACTATATACAGCAACACCTCCCCCGTAGGCATTCCTGCCTCTTCTGTAGATGTTATATCCCTGTATCGCCACTGCTGTATCATCAAAGGAATTATCTAAGTGAGTCTCAGAGATGGCCAATATATGAATGTTATCTGATGTTAGCAAATGATTGATAAACCTTATTTCTAAGGCTACATATATTAATATGGGCTATTTTTAGCCCTTTCCTGCTTAACGTATCAGAGACATAATATATTTTAAAAAATGTATACCAAAAAAAACAAGGAAATAACATTATTCAGCAGTCAATCAGGCACTTGTAAGTGTCAGTTGGTGTGTGTTTGTGTGTGTGTGATGCAGGGCTGAAGCTACGAACCTGCAGACGTGGCTATAAGATTCCAGTGTTAATTGTTTTTCCAGGCCATATGTTGCATGTATGTATACTCTGTGTTGACAGTCCATATGTATCAAACCATAAATCTTGTTAATTCCTATGTTTTCAGCTAAATGTTCTACATTGGTTTTCTCCTACATTGCTAACAATGTTGCCGTTGTAGCGTAGGTTATGCCAGAGTAGTTAACATGTGTTATGATCATATATAAAAATGAAATGTATCACAGAAACATGTACAAGGCAAGTCTTCATTTCTTTTTTTTTCTTTTTTTTATAAAGATCAGCGCTCATATTTTGGTAATACAGAATTCAAGTTTTTACATATGTGGTTCACAAAGGAATCAAACATTGAACTGAGCCAACTTCCCCCCCATCAGACAACTTTTAATAATAAAATGTATAGCTTAAATAATAAAAACGATACAGTACAAAAATAGCTGGATTCATCCTGAAACTGGAAATTACAGTTTTTCTATCTTTATTTTTTTTGAAAAAGTAACATTTAACTTAAAAAGTGTTTTATCCTGGTTTTGCAGTGGACTGCAGCGTATAAAAGGATACATTCACTGGCACCCTGTTTTCTGCCAGAAGGCACTATAGGTTTTATACAGATGGGCATGTGGAGAGCCTATTGCGCCAGTCCTGCATCTTTAGCCATACCGTAGAAGATTCCTCTCTGGGATAAGAGTTTTGTAGGAGTGTCAAATTCAGCAACCTGTCCCTTGTCCAACACCAGCACTCTGCAAAGAAGTGAAGATGGATTAGTAGAATCTTTCAGAACTTTGTTAGGGTTCTGGAGAGAATATATGACCTAACAAAGATACAATAACAGCATCTTTGATCAAAAGATGCATGCATGTATGTATGTACGTACACTGAACAAAAATATAAACGCAACATTTGAAGTGTTGGTCCCATGTTTCATGAGCTGAAATAAAAAATCCCAGAAAAGTTCCATACGTACAAAAAGCTTATTTCTCTCAAATGTTGTGCACACATTTGTTTACATCCCTGTTAGTGAGCATTTCTCCTTTGCCAAGATAATCCATCCACCTGACGAATGTGGCATATCAAGAAGCTGATTAAACAGCATGATCATTACACAGGTGCACCTTGTGCTGGGGAAAATAAAAGGCCACTTGAAAATGTGCAGTTTTGTTGCACAACACAATCACTGTTTCATGTCACGATTCTAATTTGCATGAATTATGTTACGGGTCTCTTGTCCATCCACCCTAGACGTTTAAAGCCACGGGGTTCGTAACAGCCACAGATGTCTCAAGTTTTGAGGGAGTGTGGACTGCGGGAATGTCCACCAGAGCTGTTGCCAGAGAATGTAATGTTCATTTCTCTACCATAAGCTGCCTCCAACGTTGTTTTAGAGAATTTGGCAGTACGTCCAACTGGCCTCTTAAACCGCGGGGGGGGAGGACTATTTCTGTCTGTAATAAAGCCCTTTTGTGGGGAAAAACTCATTCTGATTGGCTGGGCCTGGCTGCCAAGTGGGTGGGCCTGGCTTCCAAGTGGGTGGGCCTATGCCCTCCCAGCTCCACCCATGGCTTCACCTCTATCCAGTCATGTGAAATCCATAGATTAGGGCAAATGAATTTATTTCAATTGACTGATTTCCTTATATGAACTATAACACAGTAAAATCTTTGACATTATTGCATGTTGCGTTTATATTTTTGTTCAGTACACGTGCGTGTCTTTGTCTGTCCGTCTGTTTGTGCATGCGTGTGCGTGTGTAATGTATTGCGCATTACCTAGTATAGTCCATGATGGTGTTGAGTCTGTGAGCAATGGTGAAGACGGTGCAGTCCTCAAACTGTGTCCTGATGGTTGACTGGATGAGGTCGTCTGTCTCTAGGTCGATGGCTGCTGTAGCTTCATCCAGGATCAGGATCCTCGTCTTCCTCAGTAGAGCCCTGGCTAAACACACCAGCTGCCTCTGGCCCACACTGAACACACACACAAATTACATTACATTATTTTCCAGTAGAGTAAAATGTGAAAGGTACAAAAGGCTAAAAGAAAGATTCAGAAAAGGTATACATCCTTAAGAGAATATCCTAATTAAGACATATTTGTTTTCCAAAAATGTTCTTAGTTTTGTTTTAATTCCCACCTGAATATACAGGTAAAGGCCTTCTACAGGTGCAAACGCGTGAACGCAAATGTCCCTCAAAACATGCAGTTTGTTAATTGACAGGGATTATGTTACCTGAGGTTCTCTCCTCCCTCTGAACACTCCATTTCCAGTTTAGCCGGCTGGTTGCTGACAAACTTGTTGAGGTGGGACAGTTCCAGTGCGTTCCATACCTCCGCGTCACTGTACTTCTCAAAGGGGTCCAGGTTCATCCTCAGATTGCCAGAGAACAGCACTGGTTCCTGGGGAGGTAGAGAGGGTAGTGGGGGTGGAGGTGAGGACGGTGTAGGGTGAGTGAGTGTGTGTGAGTGTGTGTGTGTGTGTGTGGTGTGTGTGAGTGAGAGTGTGTGAGAGTGTGTGATGTGAGTGTCGGGGTGAGAGTGTGATGAGTGAGTGTGTGAGTGAGGGTGTGATGTGACCGTGGGAGTGTGTGAGTGGTGAGTGTGTGTGAGTGAGGTGTTGTGTTGAGTGTGTGTGTGTGAGTGTGTGTGTGAGTGTGTGTGTGTGAGTGAGTGAGTGAGTGAGTGAGTGAGTGTGTGTGTGAGTGAGTGGGAGTGTGTGAGTGAGTGAGTGAGTGACGGAGTGAGTGAGTGAGTGAGTGATGAGTGAGTGAGTGAGTGAGTGAGTGAGTGAGTGAGTGAGTGAGTGAGTGAGTGAGTGAGTGAGTGAGTGTGTGTGTGTGTGTGTGTGTGTGTGTGAGAGTGTGTGTGTGTACCTGTGGTATGATGGTGAGTTTTGACCTCAGGTCATGCAGCCCTATCTCTGATATCTTGACCCCGTCGATGGTGATCTCTCCCCCTGCCGCCTCCAGCAGCCGAAACAGGCACAGTGTCATAGAGGACTTACCAGCCCCCGTACGACCCACGATACCTATCTGTAACACACAGGCCAACACAATGAAACACTCCAGAAAACGGCACGCTCTGTGAGCATTGTAGTTTACCAGTCTCAATTCAAAAACGCTTGTTCCAGATAGCGGCATGCTCGATACACACATCAGCACCCGCTTGGATAAAGTAAACAGCATTTTATCTGTGTGTGAAATGTGATGGCAGGAGTACAGAGTCCTTTCATGGGGGTAGTGTGTTAAACAATCATTTAACATGTCCTCATTGGCGTATGAAAGCAATGTTTTTCACCCCAAAATGAACATTTGCCAGGTGTTTTCACGGTGTCAAGTTTCTCCGTTCATTTACGACTGTATTTGAGGCCTTATTGCAGCGTCTACACTACCTGTCAAAAGTTTGGACACACCTACTCACTCAAGGGTTTTTTCTTTATTTTGTACAATTTTTTACATTGTAGAATAATAGTGAAGACATCAAAACTATAAAATAACACATATGGAATCATGTAGTAACCAACAAAGTGTTAAACAAATCAAAATATATTTTATATTTGCGATTCTTCAAATAGCCACCCTTTGCCGTGACGACAGCTTTGCACACTCTTGGTTTTCACGGTGTCAAGTTTCTCCGTTCATTTGCGACTGTATTCGAGGCCTTTATTGCAGCGTCTATACGCATCATGTTTATCGTGCATGTTTTCCTCACTGGTCTACACAGTGTAAGCCTGTTGTTCTCACCTTCTCCCCTCCTCTGACGCTGAGGGTGAGGTTCTTGAGGACCAGGTCTAGTCCCTCTCTGTACCTCACGCTGTAGTCACGGAACTCTACCTTCCCCTGGGATGGCCAATCAGGCGAAGGCTTCTTGTCTTCCACCTCCCACGGGGCCTTGCAACATTCACAAACACAATTATGGCACAACCATACGCTTTATATGCACTTGCAATTTCTGCCCACATGAGTGTTGAGAAGAGACATATTTCAGAAAACGCAGTATCCTAGAAACACTAGAAACTCAATCACATGATCAGTAATAGGAGGATGCAATTGGGTAATAACTATACAGTATACTATATAGCCCAGCCAACCACATCAAAGGGAGTCCCTGTACGTACGTCATATCCTAGTTAAAGATCTCCTTCTACTTTTATTTGTCTTTTATGGTTGTGATCGTGAGTATGACTTGGCAGCCAAACAGCCAAAAATAAAAAACACACTTATGAAAAATATAACTATTTCCAGAAATCAGGTGGTCAGTAAGTAACAAACAGCGGGCAACTACACAACATTTCCACCTGTCACTTTGCCTTGTACTTCTGAGCGATTAGACCTGGTTCATTGGTTGATTTCCACCTGTAATGTCCTACCCTAGTAAAGCATTGTGTGCGTGTTCTGTACCTCGGTCTTGGTCTCAGAGTACTCCTTGACTCTCTCCACGGCTACGATGTTGCTCTCCAGATCCGACGTCATCCTCACCATCCAGTTCAGAGACATGGTCACCTGTTACCAGGACAACACAGTACTGTAGCATGAGTGATGCTCATGGGAGAAAACACAAGCAGCGTCATTAAGCTATCGTACATCATCATACCTGATCTCTTTAAAACACTGGATTCTATCTCAACCTAGTGTAGCAGATGAGGATCTGTGAAGGTCACTCAGCCGGTCTCCACTTGCACTGCCAGATAGCTAGCTTTTCAAGGGCACGACTGGGTAAGACGCTTCAGGAAGGCGGTCATGTGCGTTTTGCGAGGCAAGTGGTCCTTGGTTCGAGCCTCGATATGAGCCAAAATCAGGAGGAAGCTGTACTCACTAAGCAAGCAGCGTGACATCCTTTACACTAGCACAACAGAATCACAGTGGCAGGCAATGGGCACCATTTAATGGAAATCTGTATCAGACAGTTAGACGGACAGTAGATCTATGAACGTTCTACTGTACCAGTGGAGCGTAGGACACACAGAGTCCCACCAGTCCAGATCTACATTGATAAGGGATATGTTCTACTGTACCAGTGGAGCGTAGGACACAGAGTCCCACCAGTCCAGATCTACATTGATAAGGGATATGTTCTACTGTACCAGTGGAGCGTAGGACACAGAGAGTCCCACCAGTCCAGATCTACATTGATAAGGGATATGTTCTACTGTACCAGTGGAGCGTAGGACACAGAGAGTCCCACCAGTCCAGATCTACATTGATAAGGGATATGTTTCTACTGTACCCAGTGGAGCGTAGGACACAGAGTCCCACCAGTCCAGATCTACATTGATAAGGGATATGTTCTACTGTACCAGTGGAGCGTAGGACACAGAGTCCCACCAGTCCAGATCTACATTGATAAGGGATATGTTCTACTTTACCAGTGGAGCGTAGGACACAGAGTCCCACCAGTCCAGATCTACATTGATAAGGGATATGTTCTACTGTACCAGTGGAGCGTAGGACACAGAGTCCCCGTAGGAACACAGAGTCCCCACCAGTCCAGATCTACATTGATAAGGGATATGTTATACTTTACCAGTAGAGCGTAGGACACAGAGAGTCCCACCAGTCCAGGGTTGAGCTTGTCCTTCCCGATCACAGCAAACAGAGCAGCAAACAGCACGATACAGTTCCCTATGAACTCTATACGCACCCCTAACCACCTACACACACACACACACACACACACACACACACACACACACACACACAATGAACACAACACACAGTGTGTCTCTGCACAGTTGTTGCACTGTACCTGCTTATGTAACATTATAATATGCAAATATAGGCTCTATTCTGTATTAGGGCCACTTATTGTGAAGTGGGACACCACTTTGTTATGTACTTTGTGATGGAACATGTTCGTCTGTTGAGCCTTCAACATGAGCGCCAGTCAGTGGCTATGTTACAATTCTCAAAATCCAATGGACAAATGCTGTCCACTGAATGAATCCGTCATTTTGTAAAGAGAATCCTTCGGGGGCCCTTGGGTCGTTCCCATTTTGTAAAGAGAACCCTAGGGGCCCTTGGGTCGTTCCCATTTTGTAAAGAGAATCCTAAGGGCCCTTGGGTAGTTCCCAATTTGTAAAGAGAATCCTACGGGCCCTTGGGTCGTTCCCATTTTGTAAAGAGAACCCTAGGGGCCCTTGGGTCGTTACCCAGCAACTTCAGATCAGCAGGAGCCAAAAAAAAAGGAACAAGGAACGGAAGCACATTAAGACAATTGGAACACAGCCACTGTCCTCCAGAGTCCATAGTGAAAGTACAGTAGGAGAGAGACACCACCTACCTGTTGGCTACTATACCAGGGTAGTAACTCTTTTGGTTCTCATCCACCTTCATATCACTCATTAGTACAAAGTCATCGCATCTGCCGTAGGCTCTGATAACACTAGAGCCAGTGACGGTCTCAGAGAAATGGGAGTATATAGGAGACCTGCTGACCGACTCCAGACGCTTTAACTGCCGAGACGTGGCCACATAAAATCTCTACAGCCGTGGGGAAAAGAGACAAACAGCGTTACGCAGTATCTAAACACTGGGGTACAAGCTCTAATAGTAAGCAACTAGCAAGCACACACTGCAGTAACACACTATAGGAAGGTCAGGGGTCACAAAAACACCTGCAGAGTTCATTTGATAGACTTATAGAGTAATAGATTAATTTGATAGTGATTGATATAATTTATATGAATATTTAACTACCGTTTACAAGAATTATCATAATGCCAAGTCTTGAACTCTGCAGATGCTTTTTCCACCAGGCCCAAAAAGCATTCTAAGAAATAAGTATTATTTCATTTGATTATCAAATCAACTTCTAAAGCATTCAGGACTAAACACATTTGATTAAAAAACTAAAAATCAACACTTCAATTTCCATTAGTGCTTAAAATGCCATCATAATGTTGTCGGCTTTAAAACACTGTAAAACATAATTAAAAGGTAAAAACTAATTCAGGTAGAACAATTAAAAGAAGGGCCAGAAATAAACCGCCAGTGCCAGTGAGTAATAGCTTTGAAAGACAAGGAGACAGTAAATAACATATCAGATGTAAAGTACGCCATGACAAAAGCAAAAAGGACAGGAATCATATGCCGATGTTACCCATGGCAACACAGTTTACAGCGTTGGAAGTTCCAGTTAGTTAGTTTGTAGGCATTTCCAGAGGCACGTGAACACACAGAACCCTGCTTATAGTTCACCAGTAAGAACTGCAGTTTCGAATGTATCACCGGCAGAAATATATCCGTTTTCCTACCTCAGGAAACTGCTAGCTACTGTCCCATTTGCTAAAGCAAATGATGATCAAGCATAAGACCCAGTAGCCCTCAGCGAAAACATCCAAACCCAGATACAAACTAAACCATTTTTCAGGTCAGGATAATGTCATCTCTTTAGATATTTTCTGAGGTGATTTCTTGTGTGCTGCAGCTGCGTGGAGCCAGGACACACTGATCAGATCGAGACCAGTCATGTCAATTGATACTCAACATGTTCTATCATTAACCAGCAATCTGAATCGCAGCCTTGTGGCTCCTATCAAATGTCATCATTATGTGGGTTCAAAACTCCTGACACATAAAAAACCCACATACACATAAACTTGATACAAGCCCAGGGAACCTTAACAAGCCAAACCATCTTAGATACTCTTAGTCGCAGACCAAACCTGCCTTTTTCACAACAACTAGCTTTCTAAATGGATATTGGATGATTTGAAGTTGAGTCACAAATAATAATGCCTATTCCTTAACACTATCACACATCCCACAGTATAAACTATCACACATCCTACACAGTATTAACTATCACACATCCTACCATATAACATCACACATCTACCAGATTAACTATCACACACCACATATTAACTATCACCACATCTACACTATGACTATACACATCTAAGTAACTATCACACACCAACACACACATCCTACAATAGAACATCACAGCCGACACAGTATAACTAGCACACAGCTACACAGGAGGTAACGATCACACAGCCTACCAATAACTAGCACACAGCCGACCAGATGAACGATGCACACAGCCTACCAGTAGACGAGCACACAGCCTACCAAGAACAGCACACAGCCGACCAGAGAACGACACACAGCCGACCATAGAACTACACACATGCCAACCAGATGAACGATCACACAGCCTACCAGAGGAACTATCACACAGCCACCAGATGAACTATGCACACATCGACCAGAGTAACTATCACACATCCTACCAATGAACTATCACACATCCTACCATAGTAACTAGCACACAGCCTACAATATAAACTATCACACATCCTACCAAGTAACTATCACACATCCTACCATATTAACTATCACACATCCTACCATATTAACTATCACACATCCTACCATATGAACTATCACACATCCTACCATATAACTATCACACATCCTACCATATTAACTATCACACATCCTACAATATTAACAATCACACATCCTACAGTATGAACTATAGCTACAGAACAGCTGCTCTCCATCTACACCCCAGTAGTTTACTGCACTGATTCAGTGCATAGAATGATCATAGCGAAGCCAAGTCAATGGAATATCAAAAATAGTGTTTCTAAAGACATTTGCTGCGGTTCCAGATCCATCTACCTTGGGGGCAGTGTTAAGTAAAAGATCAGCCGTTCCACACAAACCAAACCACTAGAGAGTGGAGCCTCAGCCTGACCCTCAGCCTGACCCTCAGCCTGACCCTCAGCCTGACCCTCAGCCTGACCCTCAGCCTGACCCTCAGCCTGACCCTCAGCCTGACCCTCAGCCTGACCCTCAGCCTGACCCTCAGCCTGACCCTCAGCCTGCAGACTGACCCTCAGCCTGACCCTCAGCCTGACCCTCAGCCTGCAGACTGACCCTCAGCCTGACCCTCAGCCTGACCCTCAGCCTGACCCTCAGCCTGACCCTCAGCCTGAGCCTGCAGACTGACCCTCAGCCTGACCCTCAGCCTGACCCTCAGCCTGACCCTCAGCCTGACCCTCAGCCTGACCCTCAGCCTGCAGACTGACCCTCAGCCTGACCTCAGCCTGACCCTCAGCCTGACCTCAGCCTGACCCTCAGCCTGACCCTCAGCCTGCAGACTGACCCTCAGCCTGACCCTCAGCCTGACCCTCAGCCTGACCCTCAGCCTGACCCTCAGCCTGACCCTCAGCCTGACCCTCAGCCTGACCCTCAGCCTGCAGACTGACCCTCCACTCACTAGTCTTCCTACTGCATCTACCCAGCAACCAAACCACACTACCACGACAACACTAAGACAACTACACAATGAGGAGGATTGTTAAAATCACAGAAAACTGCACATGCTGTATTAATGAGTTATGAATGAGCTATGAGTTATTAATGAGTTATTCATGAGTTTTGTCCAGTTAACCTGGACCCACCAATAGAACACCATTAACAACACTATGACTAGTAGGACTAGAGGGTTGAGGACAGAGCATACGATCAGCACATTCACTGTGTACCAGAAAGTGCGCATCCATATATCAATATTGTCTGGGGTGTGCGAGTCTATGGTGTCAACATCTTTGCTGAAGCGGTTTAGGACGCGCCACGTGGGGGGGTGCTCTCGAAGAAGCCCTGGGGTCGCCCTCAGCACCCCCTGGAGCATGTAGAAGTGCATGAGCTTGGTTGCCCGCAGCTTGCTGGAAGCCATGGTCAACAGACAGTTGGCCAGCAACAGTACACCTGGCAGAGGGGGAGGGGCACAATTTCCTGGGTCAAAGGGTAAAGGCACTGTATGGAAACTCTGAAGCTAATCAATCCCCTGTAGAGTTAGACAGGAAACTCTGAAGCTAATCAATCCCCTGTAGAGTTAGACAGGAAACCCTGAAGCTAATCAATCCCCTGTATAGTTAGACAGGAAACCCTGAAGCTAATCAATCCCCTGTAGAGTTAGACAGGAAACCCTGAAGCTAATCAATCCCCTGTATAGTTAGACAGGAAACCCTGAAGCTAATCAATCCCCTGTATAGTTAGACAGGAAACTCTGAAGCTAATCAATCCCCTGTAGAGTTAGACAGGAAACCCTGAAGCTAATCAATCCCCTGTAGAGTTAGACAGGAAACCCTGAAGCTAATCAATCCCCTGTATAGTTAGACAGGAAACCCTGAAGCTAATCAATCCCCTGTATAGTTAGACAGGAAACTCTGAAGCTAATCAATCCCCTGTAGAGTTAGACAGGAAACCCTGAAGCTAATCAATCCCCTGTAGAGTTAGACAGGAAACCCTGAAGCTAATCAATCCCCTGTATAGTTAGACAGGAAACCCTGAAGCTAATCAATCCCCTGTATAGTTAGACAGGAAACTCTGAAGCTAATCAATCCCCTGTATAGTTAGACAGGAAACTCTGAAGCTAATCAATCCCCTGTATAGTTAGACAGGAAACCCTGAAGCTAATCAATCCCCTGTATAGTTAGACAGGAAACCCTGAAGCTAATCAATCCCCTGTAGAGTTAGACAGGAAACCCTGAAGCTAATCAATCCCTTGTAGAGTTAAGACAGGAAACAAAATAACCTCTAAGTCCCTACTGTGTGGAGGGTAGCGTCAGACTGACTACTAGTTGTCTTTCCATTCGTTAACCACCAGATGGCAGCAGCACACCAGCGTTGTCATGTTTCCTGTATGAACAGATCTAAGGCTGCGCTTATACAGGCCAAATCTGATCTTTTGTCCACTCTTTGGTCTTTTGACAAATCACATCAGATCTTTTCACGTCAGATCTTTTCCAGAGCTGATCTGATTGGTCAAAAGACCAATTAGTGAAAAAAAAGTTCAGAATTGGACTGCCTGTCTAAAAGCAGCCTAAAACCCTTGCCTTTAGCTCAGTGTCTTGGGGCAACTTCATCCAACGCCACTCTATAGTATAAATCACCGTTCTCCAGTGTGTCCCTGAGAAGGATGTCGGGTGGTAAAGAACCCACAGCAGTGTTCTGAGCTCTCTGCTTGACCACCTCAGAGTCAACAAACACAACTCGGACGAACAGAAGCCTCCTTCACTACTGTACCGGCTGTGGGTGAATCAACATGGCCCACTCTGTGTGTGTGTGTGTGTGTGTGTGTGTGTGTGTGGGTAAAGATGGAGAGGGAGAGCGAGGAAGTGAATGCATGGTTAAGGAAGAGGAGAGGAGACAGGGAGGAGGAGAGCAAAGTCAATGGATAACAGGAACAAAAAAAGCTGAAGAGAAACAAAAAGGTCAAAGGTCACAGAAACTGCTCCACCAATCAGGGCGCTGCATGCTGCATTCAGGAACGTAAGCAACACACTGGCAAAAAATGTAAAATGAAAAAGTATTAATTTGACACAATAAACTCCTATCCTTAAGAGTAGAGCAAGCAAAACTGTTAGCTCCTCGGAACAGAACCAATACCTGGACAAAGACGTATATGAAAGCCAGCGGGGCTATGACCACGGCGAAGATGGGGGTGCTGGCCACTATGACTATCATGGTGGAGAGAGAGGAGAAGAACGTCCCGAGGAACATGAGAACGGTGGAGGGCAGCGCCTCGTCGATGACGTAGATGTCCTTGGAGAATCGGTTGATGATCCTACCTATAGGGGTGGTGTCAAAGAAAGACTGGGGGGTGTGAAACTTGTTGTCCAGGAGGGCATAGTGAAGCTTCCTGGCTGCTCCGATGTTCCCCATGGCCAGGGTGAAGGAGGAGACCATGACCAGGATGCCTGAGAGGGATGGAGGGAGGGAAGGAGCAGGGAGATGAGGGTTGAGGAGGCAGTGGGTTCTGTATGTGTCCTCTCTCCTGAATGCTGAGACACCTTTCAATTCAATGTGTTACTGGAAAAGGGCCAGAGGGGTAGAGGCCAAGGTCCTCACACAAAACCAACCACTCATAGTTAGCGTCATACAGTAAAAAAGTTAAACATACACAACAATACACAACAAAACCTACAATAACAAAACCTCTCTTTGGGACAGATGACCATGAATAAATTGAATCATGTTCTAATAGCTATACACATTGAACTGTAAAGATACTTTCTTCACCATTGACGTAATCTTAAGGTTAGGATAGGTATCCTTATCCAAAGGTAATGAACAGCAGGTCTCCTCACCTTGTGCTATGCCCAGAGCAGCATACACCCCCACCCTCATGCTGACATTCTCCTGGGTCATGTTCTGAGCCGCGTCATTGGTCCATTCGCTCAGCCAGACGTTGGCTCCGATGGCGGCAGCACTCTGGCAGCCGTACAGGAAACAGATGAAGAGGGTCAGCAGAGGCCCTACTGCCTTGGCATACTCCCAGAACACCTTGACCTTCACCTGAGGAGAGGGAGGAGAGAGGGGGTCATAAAAGGTCAGAGGTCAGAGGTTGTACTGTCTTGGAATACACCTGGAACAACTTCACCTGGGGATAGGAGAGGGTAGGAGTGTAAAGTATACATCTCCATAGCTCTACTCACCCTGCCCGTCTCAGTGGTCTCTGCCTGGATGAGTTTCTCCACCTTGGGTAGTTTCTTCTCTGGGTCAGGCTCAGCATGCTTCCTCTCGCTGCACAGACGTCTCCGGACAGACCTGCTCCTTGGGTTCTCCAGGTCCCCTGAGATGACGCTGATCTGCCTGCAGGGAGGGAGGAAGTGATTGATCGGTCAATCAATCAATCGTTGTGTATATCGTAATTTCTGGCAAAATGCTTGACAGCAACTAAAGTCTAGAACCACATAGAGTCTAGAACCACATAGAATACAGCAGTTATCTATCACAGAGGGGGGGGGGGGGGTTAAACATTTCGAAGTCCCTTCAGGATTTTCCGATTCTGTGGTCGCCAAATGTTTTGCAAAATCAACAATTCCCTGCATATTATGCGAGGGCTTGCAAATTTGACAAATCTCTGCACTATTACCAGATAAAACAGTCAAATCATCGCAATATTACCAGATAAAACAGTCAAATCATCGCAATATTACCAGATAAAACAGTCAAATCATCGCAATATTACCAGATAAAACAGTCAAATCATCGCAATATTACCAGATAAAACAGTCAAATCATCGCAATATTACCAGATAAAACAGTCAAATCATCGCAATATTACCAGATAAAACAGTCAAATCATCGCAATATTACCAGATAAAACAGTCAAATCATCGCAATATTACCAGATAAAACAGTCAAATCATCGCAATATTACCAGATAAAACAGTCAAATCATCGCAATATTACCAGATAAAACAGTCAAATCATCGCAATATTACCAGATAAAACAGTCAAATCATCGCAATATTACCAGATAAAACAGTCAAATCATCGCAATATTACCAGATAAAACAGTCAAATCATCGCAATATTACCAGATAAAACAGTCAAATCATCGCACTATTACCAGATAAAACAGTCAAATCATCGCACTATTACCAGATAAAACAGTCAAATCATCGCAATATTACCAGATAAAACAGTCAAATCATCGCAATATTACCAGATAAAACAGTCAAATCATCGCAATATTACCAGATAAAACAGTCAAATCATCGCAATATTACCAGATAAAACAGTCAAATCATCGCAATATTACCAGATAAAACAGTCAAATCATCGCAATATTACCAGATAAAACAGTCAAATCATCGCAATATTACCAGATAAAACAGTCAAATCATCGCAATATTACCAGATAAAACAGTCAAATCATCGCAATATTACCAGATAAAACAGTCAAATCATCGCAATATTACCAGATAAAAGAGTCAAATCATCGCACTATTACCAGATAAAAGAGTCAAATCATCGCAATATTACCAGATAAAACAGTCAAATCATCGCAATATTACCAGATAAAACAGTCAAATCATCGCACTATTACCAGATAAAACAGTCAAATCATCGCACTATTACCAGATAAAACAGTCAAATCATCGCAATATTACCAGATAAAACAGTCAAATCATCGCAATATTACCAGATAAAACAGTCAAATCATCGCAATATTACCAGATAAAACAGTCAAATCGTCGCAATATTACCGCATATAACTGCCCGATCACCACACTACAAAAACATGGCTTGCAATTTTGACCAAATCGGAATATCTATTGCATAAAATGGTTCAATCAAGCAACACGTCAATAAACATTTCCCCTCTTCAGTGCATTTTTGTGACACATTTGACAAAATCAACGCAAATTGCCACGGAAAATATCAGAATTGCTGCAACAAAATCAAGCATTTTGGCCTGCAACTATCACACAAAAAAAACACGGCGGAATCCTGGAGGGACTGCCTTATGAATTGTTACAGAGGCTTATGAGTACCTTATGAATTGTTACAGAGGCTTATGAGTACCTTATGAATTGTTACAGAGGCTTATGAGTACCTTATGAATTGTTACAGAGGCTTATGAGTACCTTATGAATTGTTACAGAGGCTTATACTGTACCTTATGAACTTCCTCTTTGCCTCATTGACCACTGGTTCACTGTCCACCATGTCTGTATGGTTGCTAAGGGCGTCGTCAGGGAAGTCTTCATCATCAATCAAAGCCACTGTGGGTTTTGAGTAATAGTGTTACCATGGTAATTATGGAGCAGGTGTACACACCCCTATAGGTGTAGGGCAGAGGCGGCCAACTCTCCTCCTAGAGAGCTACTGGGTACGCAGGGTTTTGTTCCAACCCTACTCTAACAAACCTGAATAATCTAAAATCAGCTACTGACTACGACCTTGATTAACAGAATTAGATGTATTAGAGCAGGGCTGGAGCAAAACCCAGTAGCTTCAACACCTAATTGCCTACCAGGACAAATGTTGACAGGCACTGGTGTAGGGTGAACAGTGGAACCCCAAGGGCAGAAACATAAATAGT